GTTGTTTACAATGAGCACTGGAACAATTAAGGGACACATTATTGTACCTCCAATATTAAAACGGATTGAAGGTGGACATTCAAGGACCTCAGATGATTGTACCTCGCGAGATGGGATATAACCGTTAATGCAGGCAAGTCCCTCTGCATTAAGAGATACTAACTAAATAACCAACTTGTTTCCTTTTTTGCTGCCATCAATCACTTCATCAAGTTACTGAGATAATTGTACCTCGTGAGACGGAATATACCATTTACATGTCTTCTCACTTCTGACGAGACGACACAAAGAAGAGTATATATCTTCGTTGCAGGCAAGTTCCTCTACATTCAAAGATACTAACCAAATAACCAATTTGTTTCCTTTTTCGCTGCCATCTCATCAGGGCATGTTGCCTAACCCCACCATACATCAACTGCAGTATGGCAGCTCCATAGCCCTTTGTCTCTGGGATATGTCTAGGACCACATCACAAAAACAGCAGACAAAGTCCGTGGTTTGAGTAAGGGTGGAGTATTCTTTTGAGTTTGTGATCACGAAATATTAATTTATTTATGTTCATTATTTTATTTTTCTAACGAACCGATAAGATAGATATATTAAATTTATCTAAATTACCAGCAAAAATATTCAAACTTGAGTACAGAAGACAAAACACAGTACTTTTTTAAAAATAAAATCCAACTGATTTTGTGATTGGGGAAGAGCACCAAAAGGAATTTCCTAGTTAAGAATTAGCAAGAGCGTATAAGTGGATATTGTGGAGTTTGTTTTTCTTTCTCCAATTGAGTGCTGGAGTTGTAAAATTTCCGTAATTATAAGTTACCTTTCTCCTTATGCGCTTCTTTCATTTTTTTTTTGTCTCTGAACCACATGAACTAAATGAGAATCAAGAAACCGAATTAGTAAGAGTCGATGGATTGCAGAGTTTTTTTCCTTCTCTAATTGAGTTCGGGGTTGTAAAATTTCCGTACTTATTAAGTTATTTTTTCTCCTCATGCACTCCCTTCAGTATTTTTAATCTTTACAATAAATAAACTAAATGAGAATCAAGAAACCGAAAGAAAAAAGAAGAACGCATAAGAAGAAAACGGGAGTAAAAATAATTACCCATGGGCCATGATTAGTATCACTACTGTTGTTGTAAAATCTGTAAAGTAGAGAGAGGTAGAGGCATAAAGCTTTTCATATATCAATAAAGTTGTGGCATGCGAGTGTCCCCATTGGAGGTATCAACCATCCTTCCCATCACTGCCCTCCTTGCACTTTTTCAGTACACAGCTAAATTGGTATCCTACCATACCATATGTTACCGTATGCAGCTAGAATCATGAGCTACATAATAATTTCTTTCTTTACTGAGAAATTAAAACTATATAAACATATATATATATATATACACATATATATATATATACATATATATTGAAAAGTTCAGACAAACATTTTTTATGCAGATCGGAAAGATTGTTCCTTTGTGGTCGAAAAGTCATGGGTTCGAGTAATGAAAACAACCTCTTTGCAAAGTAAAGGTATGAAAATAGCCTATTTGCAAAGTAAAGGTAAGGCTAAGTATGATAGACGTCCCTTCCCGTCATCCCATTCGTCCTCTCCAGGACCCTTACAAAGCAAGGAGTCTTGTTAGTTTGAGGTCGCTCTTTTTTGGATTTGTCAGGTTTTCTTGGTTATCATTATGCATTATTTTAATCTAGTGTAATCACAAGAGGTTACAACATAGTTAACTTGTTCCTAATTGAGTAATTCTGCAGCATTTAAGGTAACTAAGTGCCTTCTGCTTGCCCAACACATCATGAAAATCATACATATTCTTTTAGATAGTAAACGAGAAAATAGATTTTTCAGTGTCACCAATTATAATGTTAAACAGATAAATTGTTAACGCGTATCAAATTGTGAGATGCATCCGATCATTCATGTTGGTAACTATAAATTTGCGGTATCAATTGTCAACGATAATAATAATATCAGTGTATGCATTAAATAAAATACGATTAACTGCATTGTAGAAAAAGTCTATTTTCAATCATATATGTAGACTATAATTCTTATCAAATTAAACAAACAAAACTCTCTCATGAGGTCGAAAGTCTAATTTCACAAAGATTCTCAGGCCAAGGAAATCAATTTGGAATATTTCGCAGGAAATGCACACCACTACAAGAACCAAGAATTGTTGATTTGGAGCCCGATGTAATGCAAAAGGGGAAAAAGAGGCAAGAGAAGGGACATCAAAAGTGCTTTTCATGATTTCTTTCCTTCGATTATTTTATTCCATTTTCTCCACTGTTACTGATATTTTTTTTAATCATACATGACAACAAATCTTTGATGTTGAAATTGAGGCATTCCAGACTCGTAGATCACTCGTTACGTTTTGGATTCGATTTCTTATATTAGTGAATCACATAATAGTATGAGTTTTTTAGCTTCTGAAATAATAGACTGTCGTGGTGAAACCACCATCTAATTTATTTTCATAAAAAAAACAAAAACAAAAATATTAGTCAATAATTATTCACAATTAAACTTTTTTCTTTTTGCATGCGGTCAAGTGGATAGGATGTTAGATTTTTATTCATGCGTCCCTTCTTTTATATTATTGTAATAGTTTCGAATCATTCTCACTCCCTTTAATAAATGATTTTTTAAAAATCCTTTTTTCTTTTTAAATTTCCCTTCTCTTCCTCTCTTGAGTGGTATTTTTTTTTAACAAACGATATTATTTGCACTAAAGGAGTAGGGGAGTGAGTTAAGCCTCACATTATGCTAGCCATAATAATATGTTCAAATTCACCTTTGGCGAGAACCGAATCTAAGATCTCTCACTTCTAAGTGAAGAAGAATAGTACTAGTCGCAATACTAAGTGGCTCTCTTGAGTGGTAATTAACTTTGAAATTAATCCTTTTTTTAATTATCAGCATAAAGCATATAAGCCACATAGTAAATGCAGTTCATTTTTGGGGGTCAAATAGTAGCACTAGTAGTTCAACCTTTTAAGAAGAAAGTAGTATGATATGATTGGGTTTTGTTCACTCTTCACACACCGAATTGAGACTTTGACATTGCCACTTTTAGGACTTTGGCGCATGCATGGGCTATAATATACTACCAAGTTTTGTACTAGCATAGTCAAAAAAGTGTTCGTTCCACCATGCATGCATTCTCAACGACTTTTGCCTTCGGTATGACTTTTTAACTAGGACAATTCTCATATTTAGTAAGACTGTGTGGAGTCGATTTGAACCATAATTTATGAAATCTCATTATTTTTTTTGGTAAAATATGTCTTATGAATGACGCGATCAGACAGCTCCTGCTTAAATTTTTATTGCTAAGCTATATAGCTACCTATGTCAACAAACCTAAATCCTAAATTTTCACTTACTTAATATTAATTAGTTAGAAATGAGTTTATTTTAGCAAAGGGAATTACTTACCAACTAGATGTTTTTGGTTGGGGAAAATACAAAAATAGTGAGATTCAACAAACACAAGGATAAACTCACCCACAATCCAAAAAGAAAAAGTTTGGTAAAAAATGATCTTGCACGATATTTGTGGGGACAAATTAAGCAATGAATTGCTAACCCCATAAGAAGTGACTTTTGCATTTATTTATTTTTATTGTTTCCCTTCTTTTTATCCTATTTATTTTATACTTTTAAATTGTATAATTTCAAAAAAAACAATAAATATGGGCTCATTATATTAACATCCCACAAATTGTTGAATAAACCTCACATACTTAATACACCTTACATTAACTTTTTCACTTAAAAATTATCTTAATACGCTCCACATACTTTTTCATAAAACCTCCACATCCAACATTCTCAATATTCACCTTATATTTTGTACATACACCCCACATTTTCTATACACCTCACATTTTCCAACTTGCCTCTCAAACTGTAAATAGTATTGTTCAATGCTTCCGGTGAATGCGTCTCATCAAGCGGGTCATGTAGCACACGGAGCGCCACCTCCAATAACCGAATGAGACTCGCCTCCGCAACATTAACAAGACCGAGAAATGCATTTGTTTGCATAAATTTTGTGACAGACGAGTCCAGCTAGAAGTTGTTGTCCGCCTTCACAAGCTCTGATATGAAACATGGGAAGAGTATTATTCTGAAAAGCAACGGTTATCTCTCGTTTTGCACTTCGGCTGCTTGAAACTTGCGGGATCTGTTCCCGACCAAATAGCAGATATAAGAGAAGATGTTTCCGTATGAAGAGTTGGAGATGATAGTGCGGAAAAACAATTTTTCTCAATCAACATGTTTGTAGTTTCATTAGTTAGGGTTTTGTTCAATAATGGAGGGTGGTAGGTTTTGATAGTTGAGAAGATAAATAATACGCTAAAAGTGATTTGGGATGTATTTAGAATTTTTATTTTTTTTTAAACCTAATAATAAGGTCAAAATTGTCATTGCATAGTGGAATAAATAAGTCATTTAATATTAAATTTTAATGTGGGATGCACTCAACATTTTGTGAGATGCTAATATAAAAAGCCTAAATATGTACAAATATATATATATACACACACACATATACATATATATATATATATATATATATAAGTGCGCGGAAATTATTTTTCTCTACGAAATCAACCAAACTCCACTCTGATTTCTAAAGAAGCAATGAGCATTTGCTGTGCAAGAGATTTTTCAGTGTGTTGGAATACGATCCGGTACAAGATGTTATAATACAAGTGGTTGAATACTTTAAAAAAAAAAATTACAACCACTTTTATTATGATATTTATGTACCGAATCGTGTTTCTGATACATCGAAAAATTTATATGCTTTACACATTACATTCCACCATCAACATTTCAAATCATCACAAAAACTTATCACATTAATCAAATAAAGAAATTAGTGGGCCCCAACCAACCCCATTCAAAAAATAAAAAAAGTTGATAACTTTGTTACAAAGTTTCTTTTGTTCATATAATATCATATCATATGATCTCTCCTTCCTTCTATTATATAAAACAACACACACAATACTTCTCCAAGTTTCTCCCACTAATCCGTCGGAAAAAGATGGACGAGTCCTGGCGCATGCGAATGGGATTAATGCCGGGACTCCCGCGGCGGCGCTCCGCGGAGCACGTCTCCACTCGATCTGTATTCGCGGCCGCAGCCGCCAAAGACTCCCATATAACGCTTGAACCCGATGACTTCGCGGATGTATTCGGCGGGCCGCCGCGGAGCGTCCTCCCGCGCCAATTCCCCGGGGGCTCGACTTCCTTCTACGAGGAGATCTTCCGGCCGCCGGAGTTCTGCTTTACGGCGGAGAACAGAGACCGAAGCTTGCCTGCGTTTAGGATTCCGTCGAGGAGCGAGCGGTTTTATAGTGATATTTTTGGATCGGACGACGACGGACGCCAGCGGATGTCGAGAGAGCGGTCGAGGCCGAACTCGAAAACGAAGTCAAAGTCAAACTCTTCGTCGGTGCTGAGCTCGGAGGAGCTGAGTCCTCTCCGGCCGGTCATCGGCGATGACGTGGCATTCTCCTCCTTCGCTTCAAAGCTCAGGTAGTTTACTATAGTTACTGTGTCCCTTCGCGGTATGGCCAACCGTTTTTGCCGCTGTTATTTAGCTTGACGCTTATACCCTTAACATTGCTTTATATTTGCGTTCATTCTGCCTTCAATTTGGTTATATTCGAAGGGTATGGAAGCCTTCTGAATTTTCTTTTCAAATATTTTGAGTTTTTTTTCCCATAGTTTCCATTCTAATATTTTGAATTAAATCTTGTGTTTGGCCAAAACATTTGGAATTTAAATATTATTATATTTTTTCCAGAATCATTATTAGTATTTTAATTTAATTTTGCCTTTGTTGATAAAAGTGCTTTAGTGGAAAGCGCTTGGACGTCACCACTAATTGTTTTGTAAAAAGCACTTAGCTTACTCAAAAGGAAAATATTAAAGAGAGTATATTTTCGGGTTATATTTCTGTATTACCTGATCTATTAAGCAATGTGTACTTATTGTGTTAATGAAACTTTACTAATTTTATCGCATTAGATATTAGTTATATGCATCATTTAGTATTCAAAAGTAGTAAAAAATTCCGGCGTTTTTGGCATTACTCAATCAAAATATTAAGATTAGTTTCATCTTTCAAAAAATTTATTAATAAAATTATTGATGAGTTTCTCAACTCAACACATTCTTGATTGCCACAGACCACTAAATGTGCCATGTAGATGGAACTCATCAACCATGAAGCCAACCAAGGAACATCCAAAGAAACAAGGCACGTCAGCTCTGCGTTGCAATCCTCTTTCCTTCACTGAAAACCAAGTTCTGGAGAAATTATATGATGAAAAGTTCAGAAGCTCCAGTAATTTCGGATTCACAAGGAAGGTCTCGTCCCCAGAAACCATGAGTCCTGGACCCAGTTCGTGTCGAAGCGTCAAGCAATTTGTGGATGATCTGGAGCTTCTCTCACCATCTTCAGCAGTCTCTTCGCTCTGCCAAGAACATGAGATTAAATCCGGGATTTGGGATCGGGTTTTGCGAGAGAAAGAAGTGGGAGTATTGGAACAAGAAGAAAAAGAAGAAGATAATAATGACGATGAAGTGATGAGCTCTTATGTGATTGAGATCAATTCTGATCAGCAAAGAGAAGAAGCAGTTGGTATTGAAGAAGCGATTGCATGGGCTAAAGAGAAGTTCCAAACACACAGTAATTCCGAGAAAGAAGGGAGCTTGACGCAACAAGACAATCAGCAGTCTGTTGAAATGGATGAAGGTGATTTTTGTTAGTCTCTAAACTGAACCCAAAACCCGAAACCCTAAACCCTAAACCTTGAAACTTTTATGCATGAGTAATAACTGTACTGTGTGCGTTTGATATGAATCATTTAGGTAGGCCTAATGTGGATTACTCATATCACCAGCAAAGAGATGAACTACTACTTGAAACGACTCCATCTCCAGAGGTAAATTATTTTTGGTAAATTTTGAAGGCATGCAGCCCAAAATATTCTACGTGTGTGTGTGTGTGTATATATATATAGGAAAAATTAGTATCCGGTCCCTAGTTTTTACTGTTCATTGACTAAGACCTTATTAGTTCTTAAATTTTGATTCAAGTCCCTAGCAATAATGTGATAATGAATTTACATGTTTATTATATAATTTTTTTAATATAAAAATTAGTAATTAATTTAGGGTTTAATACTCACACCTCTATTAAACTTCTAATTAATTTTCAATTCAAACATTTCCAAAATAATAAAAAATTAAATTAAATTAAGTTTGTACCTATTAGTTTTTTTTATATATATAAAAAATTCTCAATTTTTTAATCTTAAATGTACCCAGTCATATTATTTTTCAATTTTTTTAAACTTAAATGTACCCATTCTCAAATATATCAATTTGTTATATGTAAAATGTACCCTTTTTTTTTAATATAAAATCCATTCAAATTTTTTAATCCATGTTTAAACTTATATGGGTACATTCATTTTCGTTGATTTGAGAATGTATCCATGTTTTGGTACAATAACTTTTTTTGTTAATTTTGGTTAATGTACCCATACATATATGTATACACACACACACACACACACACACAATATAATAGAGAGTATAATTTTTATTTTATTATTTTTAATCCCATAAATTATGGGTTTTATTTAAAATCTCATTAATATAAACAATTAAAATTTCAATTTTTAATTTTTAATTTAAAAAATATAGTAACTTGCATTATTACATTAATGTCAGGGACCTTAATAAAAAACTAAAAACTAACAAAGTTTCAATCAAAGAATATTGATAGTTAGGGACCGCATCCAAAGTGTCCCATATATATATCATATATCGTCATTTTCCGATATCGACTTGTTTGGCAGGAAGAAGAGGAAATGACAGGGATAGCTGAAGAGGAAAAGAAGCCTTCAGAAAAAGATGTAAGCTTTCTCTTCTTGCATGCATAAATTTTGTACGAATAATTATACCAAAATAAGTTTGAGCAATGCTTTCTCTATATATATACAGATGGAATTGGAGCTCTTGGATGAAGACATAAGGTTATGGTCGGCTGGCAAGGAATCCAACATTCGTATGCTGCTTTCGACACTACACCATGTAAGTAAAAATCTTGAGGTTTACTTCGACGAATACTGCTTGGCTTCTTATCGACAAAGATTTATTTCTCCCTGCATGCAAATACGTAACTTATAGAAAGCACATAAGTTTTTTCATGCGGATCGAATGTGATTGGTCTGCAAGGAGGATCAAGTTCGCATAATTAATGTTACATGGTTTGTTTTGGTTTTGTGTGGTGTTGGCTGGTGATCAGGTTGTATGGCCCAAGAGTGGATGGTATGCAGTTCCCTTGACAAGCCTAATAGAAGGTTCACAGGTGAAGAAAGCGTATCAGAAAGCAAGGCTGTGCCTCCACCCAGACAAACTGCAACAAAGAGGAGCAACACCTGCTCAAAAATATATTGCTGAAACGGCCTTCGCCATCCTCCAGGTAAATAAATGTTTTTGTTATGTATCGGGAATTGTTATTGAGACTACAAAGGAAGTCGTCACACCTTCGTATGTATTTCATGAAAAGCAATAAAGTTCCATTGCATTCCAAATTACTAAACCTTAATGGTTAACAAAGAATTTTGGGTTTTTTTGGAAGTGTTTTTAAAATAATTGGAAAGCAATAAAGTTCCATTGCATTCCAAATTACTAAACCTTAATGGTTAACAAAGAATTTTGGGTTTTTTTGGAAGTGTTTTTAAAATAATTAAAAACGCTTTAAGAGAATAGTGCTTCTTTCAGGAAGCATTTTAAGTGTTTTTCCAAGATTTACTTGCGTTTTACTAAGAATTAGTTCCAAAAGCATTTTTACCAAAAACGATTTCAATCATTTTAAAAGCATTTTGAAAAGAAGTTATGAATTAATTAACTCCAATGATTCTGACAAGTAATTGATGATGTGGAATTGTAGGATGCATGGGCCGTGTTTATCTCCCAAGATGTATTCATTACTTAGTGGATGTGTGAATTATTCTTGCCTTTTGAACTCATTTTTTTGACTCCAAGGTTGCAAGTGAAGAATAAGCATATGAACAACTTTGTAAGATAGCTCGGCTAGTATTCTTGTGGAAATATGTACATTAGTTTGTTTGATAAACTACGCTTGGTTTTTTTTATCTGTATATTTATTTTTGAGTGTTGAAACAAAAATTTTGGAATATAATTTTGAATCCTGAACAGTCCCTTTGTATCTGTATATTTTATTTTCGAGTGTAGAAACAAAAAATTTGGAATATAATTTTGAATCCTAATCGGCCCCTTTTGACTTTCATTCAAACTCCAGTCTGTAACAGCGGTTCAGACATGTTGAGAAAATCGCACATCTATTCAATTTTCTTCAACTGCTGACGGTTGTATATAACTACACACAAATCCCCCTGTATGGAGGAATGAGCTATTTGACATGAGTACACTGCTACTGACGCATACACATGCTTAGTGGTAGTTGGCCGACAGGTATGTTACTCCGTTTGTGTAAGCACTGGTTTGATACTGAGGTACTTTTATAATAAGTAGGTATAAAAAATAGCTGAGCTCAAAAAAATATTTGGTAAACACTTAAAAACAACTTATTTTCACAGTTTTGGATGAAAAAAAACTGACGACATAAAGCAGCAAAAATGAACTTATTCTCACAGCACAGTAGAAATAGTTTTTTTCCAAAGCATAGCAATACCAAACCAGCCCTAACACCATTTTCTCACGAAGCCGACGGATAAAATTTAGAACTTGAATGCAAACAGTACAAGCATCCTCCGAACAGCCGAAATCAGAGATGAAAGTCACTGCTAGCTTCACTTTTGAAGCCAAGCGAATACGATCCAATTACATCATTTGACCAGAATCCGGCGGAGTTATGCGTGGTATGATACCACTGCTATCCCTAATTACTCCAGAGTTTAATGTACACAATGACGGATGTGTGTCAAAATTTTACTACACGAAATGTAGTCTACGGGAAATTTTTTGGAAAAGAAAACGAAATGGTTGAAAGAATATGATGAAGAAAATGGACTCGTCCCTCGTATTATAGGGACAATGAAGTTCAATAACTGAACTTCAACACATTATTATGTCAATATGGTGCAGATATTCTCCATCATTTGGTTCTTGTAATGACTACCTGGGTGAGATCTAGGAGTGCCCTCCTCGATTTTCTGACATTCTTGTCTTTGCTCTCGGGCAGAGATTCGATTGCCGCTGCGGCAAGGTTTGCATGTTTTGTGGCTAGCTCCCTTGTCCTATGTATTCCACGGCTCCTACCTAGGTAGTCGAGAGCCTGTAGAAATAGACCATGAAAACCAATAACAAGAATTGAATCTAATAAAACTGAGATGACTGCATTAAACTATTTATATTCACTTAAAAACCGTTTCTATTTTCTGTTTTTCACCTCTCGTTAATGAAATTTCATGAACAATATTCATTAGAGTTGGACATTTAATGAGAGGCGAAAAATATAAAACAGAAACATTTTTCAAAGCTGGATGGCAGAAACGGGTTTAGACGGGAGTTTTCTTTGAAACAATGCCTAAGTAGCCCAGACCAGCATTTAATGAAACATTGCAAACTTACAAGTTCAATATTTGCAGGGTTGTTATCAAGGCCCTGTTCAACAACCATACGCAACTGAGGAAACTCTTCCATGGCAAACAATATTGGAGCAGTTACGATGCCCTACAAAACGATTATATGGTTTCAAAAAATTATGACAATAACCAAAAAAGTAAGAGGGCTCTTAATCATGAAAGTTGAAAACATAGCAGCATGGGATCAGAACAGTTGAGGATTTCTCTTAATTTACTAATTGAAAAGTGAGACTAAACAGAGAAATGCTGGCCATGAACTACATAATTTCATAAGGTCAAGCTTACAATACTTGCATTTTTTTTCATGGCAAATGCAAGCAAGCTTGTTGAGCATGCCAATATGGAAAGAAACAAAAGAATGAAAAATCGAAAATTGAATACTGTTATAGGAAATTTTGAGCAACAAAACCAACTTTAAGGCTGACAGACACAGATAATACTCTCACTTTAAGCTACCAAACTCAGCCATGAGATGCACCTAGATCAGTAACGGACAAGAGACAAATCTCATGTGTTCAAACATAGAAATATCCCATTACCAACCAACACTTACATGGCGGATGTCAGATAAAGAGCCCTTTCCAAGTGAAGCTGATGTGCCCATAAAATCAAGAACGTCATCTATTAATTGAAATGCCAATCCCTGAGGAAAAAAAAAAATTAGTCAGCTTGATACACATGCAAGCACATTGACTCATCAATCCATACATGCATGTAAAAAAACCATCAGAAAGTGTCCATTGTTTGAGCTCTATATAATTCTTGTTATCATTATTTTTATTTCTCTATATGTGCTTCTGTTTGGAACCTGACTATTAAACTCATAAAAATATCTTAGAATTAAGCTTGCTCGTCAAGAATATTAGACAAAAGAATTCCAAGAGTTTACGAACCAGATTTTTTCCATACTCATAAGCCAACATAGCAACTTCGGTTGTATGCCCAGCAAGAACGGCAATTGCTTTGCAACTATTTGAAATCAATGATGCAGTCTTGTAATAAGTCTTTTGTATATAATATTCCATGCTGCAATGAATACCAAATTCTATCATAATTAGAAAACCTTAAATCTTAAAGAAACCCTAATCAAGATATCAAATAACAAAAAAACTGTGCGCTTATGTACATAATATCAACAATGATTTGCTCAAACTCAACTAATTGAAGCTTTTGAAAATGGAAGATTGAGTACTTTGAGTATGAGTTATGCATGCGTAATTTGTTTCTCACACTTCCGCTCTCTTTTCACTACAACACATTTCGTTGTAAGTTGTAACAACCCCCAACTTATTTCTTCTCTATATAATCACCAATTCCCATCCCTACATGGCATTATTAAAGAAATACTTTATGTAAAAAAAGAGCTATAAAGACGAGCCCTACTATATACAAGACGAGACAAGCCAAATCCCAACCTAATATATACTTTTATAACATAGTAGTTTACTACCTAAAAAAAAATGTACACATATGACAGAAGCAACATAGCAGTGTACCTACAACGTTGATCAGATGTGGTAGTGATTTGCATGGTTTCACCTGTCACAAGATGCTCAACAACCGTTGACATTAATGATACAACCTACAAATGCACAAAAATGATGCAAAAACATGTTAAAACAACTAAAGTGAACGCACATCCTTCTGTCTGTGATACTTGGGAATATAACTATGAATAGGTATGGGATCCACTGTTGTACTTTTATGTGCAAACGGAAGCAAACTCTAACAAAGTACCAATATCAACGTCGTAGGTGAAAACTAAAACAATCTCAAACTAACACGAGATTTACGTGGTTCGGCGTAAAGCCTACGTCCACGAGCGAAGCACGGCAAAGAATTTCACTAAACAAACGGAGATTACAAAAGAGTGTTTAAACTTTCACAACCCAAATCCCACAAATTACAAACCCTAAACCAAACGAGTAGAGAACTCAAACAAATGGAGAAGATTCTCAAAAATTGCTCTCTAACTCACAAACTCACAAATTGACTCTCACCAAATTGCCACACGAATGAGCCACACTAAATACACTAACCCTAAGGTCCTATTTATAGTGCATAGGACTTAGGTTACAATAAGAATCCTAATAGGAAGTAAATCCAAATCCTAATCAAATAGGTGATTAACAAAATCTCTCCACCAAGGAAACCAACTAAGAAGTCAAAATCCAAACCTAAACCCAAATAGGACACCAAAACCAAATAGGTAACACAAACCTAATTCTTTGCATCATCCTAATTTTGAGCCGTAAAAACCTAACAATCTCCATCTCGGCGAGAAATTAGCAAACTTCCTAATTTGGGATATCAAAATACAAACACAAACGTGCACCAAATTCTTTTGAAATTGATCTCCACCTAGAATAAAAAAAATCCAGAAATCTTCAAACTTGAAATTTCCTCCAACGCCTTCTCCAACAAATTCCATTACAGAAGCTAACAAATATGAAACAAAATCCAAGCAAAAGCTTGAACATATGAACAAAAAGTGCGAATTGCACTCCACCCAAAGAGCTTGAGTACCAAGCTCCATCTCCTCACATAACCTTTAGAGGAGTTCAGAACAATGATCTTCTGCAATGTTTGCATCAACACTAGCAAAAGACTTATCAAACGGCTCCTTTTTGCCCTTGAGTTTAGGGCAATCTACTTTCCAATGACCTTCCTTATAACAATAGCTACAAGTGTTCTTTCCAAGTTTGCCCCTTTCCTTATTTCTTCTTTGAACTACCAAAGCTCCATTTTGTGTGTCAGACACTTTATTCTTTAGCTCTTTAGAATTCAAACCGACTTTAAAATCTTTCAAACTAAGACTTTCTCTACCAAATAGCATGGTATCGACAAAGTGTTCATATGAAGGAGATAAAGAACACAACAAAGATATTGCATAATCCTCATCACTAATTTGGTTGTCCACACTTTTCAAATCCATCATAAGTTTATTGAATTCATCAACATGCTTATGAATTGACGTACCTTCATCCATACGAAGAGTATGCAAACTTTTCTTCAAATACAACTGTTTAGCAAGGGATTTGGTCATATACAAGCTCTCCAATTTTATCCACAACTCCGGTGCAAATTTTATGCTACCAACTTCACGCAAGACTCATTTGATAAAGTTAGCAAGATTGCTCCAAGTGCCTGCTCCATAACGTCTTCTTTTTCTTCATCAGTCCACGAATTCGGCAAAGCCTTCACACCCTTTAGCATTTTCAAAAGCCCTTGTTGAACTAACAAAGCACGCATCTTCAATTGCCAAATACCAAAGTCATTGCCGTCGAACTTTTCAATATCAACTTTCACCGATAACACAAAAGGCTTCATAGTGACTGCCAAGCAAAGCCCAAGCCGAAACCTGGCTTTTATACCACTGGTTGTACTTTTATGTGCAAACGGAAGCAAACTCTAACAAAGTACCAATATCAACGTCGTAGGTGAAAACTAAAACAATCTCAAACTAACACAAGAGATTTACGTGGTTCGGCATAAAACCTACATCCACGAGCAAAGCACGGCAAGGAATTTCACTAAACAAACGGAGATTACAAAAGAGTGTTTAAACTCTCACAACCCAAATCCCACAAATTACAAACCCTAAATCAAACAAGTAGAGAACTCAAACAAACGGAGAAGATTCTCCCAAATTGCTCTCTGACTCACAAACTCACAAATTGACTCTCACCAAATTGCCACACGAAAGAGCCACACTAAATACACTAACCCTAAGGTCCTATTTATAGTGCATAAGACTTAGGTTACAATAAGAATCCTAATAAGAAGTAAATCCAAATCCTAATCAAATAGGCTATTAACAAAATCTCTCCACCAAGGAAACCAACTAAGAAGTCAAAATCCAAACTCAAACCCAAATAGGACACCAAAACCAAATAGGTAACACAAACCTAATTCTTTGCATCATCCTAATTTTGAGCCTTAAAAACCCAACATCCACGTCCTGACTTGCTAAAATTTCAGGCAGATCACCTTCATACTTCACTGATGGATGATGATGGTGATGATTGTCGTGTTTGGTGATTGAAAAAATTGATTCGGTAGTTTATCCACAAGAGTAAAAGTGCACAAGAAGGAAGGGGGAGGCAAAAACAAAATTAACTGACTTGCTTGACAAGATAAGGAGCTGGCACATTTGATTGAATAAAATCTATCAGGGATTTTGCTCTCTTGTATTACTTGGTTGGCCTTAAGATGCCTTATTTTTGCTCCGTCATCCTTCATAGTAGCATACATGACATGGAACATTGCAATGTGCTAAAAGTAATAAGTAGGGGCTTCGATGTGGACCCAGAAGATAGTATGGACCCTGGTAATATACCATTGCAAAGGGAACCCCAAATCCCTGTCAAGAAGGGACTTACAACACTCCCTCCCCATCCCCACCCCTCTGACCCCACCAAAGAAACTTTCTAGTCAAGATGCATTAAATATAATTAACACACTTTTGATATGAGGATGAAATACAACTACTCTAATAGGGTGCCAGCACAGCATATCAAATATGTGGACTTTTGTGGCCAAGTCTCTCACATCCCTAATACTATAAACAAGATGAGCCAGAAAGCATGAAATATAGCCCCACGTGTTATTGCTCATCTCAGTACACTAGTGCATAATAATTCATCCGTACCTCTGTGTTTCTCAAGGAGGCAAGTGCGACACAGGCTCGGGAAAGCAGAAAATCCCCCGCTAAAACAGCTAACTGCATTCAATAATGGAAAGACGAGTAACTATCATATCATATTTCATAACTCTGTATGTTCCCAATGCAGAATCATTATTAATAACTGAAATAAAAAATGGGAAAATTTGATATGGTACGGCACTCCATCTCACATTCTATTAAAATGTTCAATACTTGACAAGAATTAATATCATTCAGCGGGAGGGGTATCAGCAGCAGCCATGTACGGTAACTATCTGCATAGGGTGGAAAGTAATGAACAAATGATTTAGCCACCCTTCCCCAGTCCCTTTTAGGCATCAAAATAAGCTCTAATGGGAACATATCATTTTGTCTCATGTTGCCTAAACATAGGGGTTAGTAGGAAACACACCGTTCCTCCACGTTCTAAGCCTTTATTGTATTAATTGTTTGATTTTCATCCAACGACTAGAACATGATACATGCCTTGTTTAAATGCTTAATGTGATGCATATGGAAACTCTCTGAAAATCCAACAAACACATTCGTCCCTATACTTTTGATTGAAATATAAATGACTTCTGTAGAGATAAGAAGAGAAGCATCAAAATAAATTATATTCTTATAAGCAAAAAGGCAATTTGACCAATTTAAAGGAACCAAAAGCACACCTTATTTCCCATTATACAATTTAATGTACCAACACCACGCCTTGTGTCTGCATCATCCAATACATCATCATGTAGAAGGCTTGCCACCTGACAAATGAAAATAATTACGTTAGAAGCTTTTTCAGGCTTCAAGTCCTGAGAGAAATATCATATCCTCAATGTCACAATTTACTCATGAAGCATTACAAGACAAATTTCATTCCTATCAAGTGTAACTAGATTCTTAATAGAAATTTACTGATTAAGTTAATAATATTACTGTAGATAAGTTGCAGGGGTGGAAAGGTAAGATAATACATGTAATGCTTATGCCACAAATTTTGGAGGAAAAGGGAGTTATAATTCAAGCAAGTGCACCTCAGAGAGAATTTTACAAAGCCATTAAAAAACAGTTTTGGAACGACACGAATAAATTGGTCTAGGGAATCCCTACAGGCAATGAATGTTATTAGTACATTAGAAATGATATTTTTCCAATAATGTGTAGCATATAATAAAATAAAGTGATAGCAACAAAATCATTAAGAATGATATAACTAACATGAATCATCTCTGTGACTTCTGCTATACATTGTTGCCTTGCGCGTAGCTCTGTTGACAAAGCCACTCGCAGTTCTGTAGGAGGTTCAGGTACAGTGATATTCAAAGCGGTTGACATCAACAATAAGACCTGCATATAGAAATAATAGAATAAATCTACTGAGCAACTTTTAACCTTGACGACAATCGTAATTCTTGAAAATATAAGGTTGGAATGACGAGTTATATATATATATATATATATATATATATATATATATATATATATATCTATATATATTCCACTGACTTCTCCTAACAGCATATGTGCAAATATTGAATTTAGAGACAGAAGGCAAATTACTAAATGATATATACAAGAAAATATCCAGTATACAACATCTTTGCGAAACAGAGAAAGTGAACTAATGAATTGGATTAGTACTATTTATATTACCGTGGGACGAAACCTCTTTCCTTCCACTCCCATTTTAAAGAAGTACTCAGCAGCGGAGGCAAGCTTAGGGACCTGGGAATAGAAAACAAATCTGATCTATGATAATATGATATAACATTTGAATCTTACGAGACCATTAGGATCCAATCTCAGTTTCCAACATGTATGTCCTCAGAGTAATATCAAATAAATCCAAGGAGATAGAAAATAGATATACCTCAGCAACTACCATTGCCCGCAACCTGTTAGCAATAATCGACAGCTCATCGGAAACAAGCGAGAATGGGTCAAGCGGTTCCTGCAAAGCAGTATGTAAGCACATTATAGAGGTGGACAAACAAAATTATCTATTACAAAAGAAAACTAAAGTCCCTAAGAGAAGGGTACATGAAATTTGAGCCTTGACAATGACGACAAGTTAAACTTACTCCATCTTTGCATTTGTGCCATAAGCAACAATAAACAACTCGTACATTTTGATCCAGAGGCTGATCTCACATAAACAAACTACTTAAAACTTTTGCACAATCAACCAGGATTGAACTTTAAAAACAAACGAACACTCGGGTAACTCGAAATTTTCGTGCTTTCATGCATTTGCCATTGAAATATCAAATGGGCATGTGGGAAAACAAAAAAATAACCAAAATGTGAATACCCAAAAACCTCACCTCAACTATGGAGCTGCTTTGATGGTGAATTTGGTGCCTGGAACCATGGAAAACCGGCGGCAATCCCCACGAAATAAATTCCCCGCAACCCATAATCTACCAACACACAACCAATCAAAACCCTGAAACATAACATAATACAAACACAATCACAAAACCTTCAATCTCAGAGATTTATAGAGCAAAATTACCTTCTGGGTCGAATCATTCAGCGATTGAGAGTAAGTGCGGGCGGCGACGAACTGTTGCGGGTCCCTTCGATGGGAAAGCAAACACCGACACAACCCATTGAAGCTGCTTCTTTGAATCCGAGAAAATAACATACTTTTTCCTTTGCTTCTCTCTCAATAAAATTGATAGCGATTTAAAGGAACGAACTTTAACACAGAGAGAGAGATTCAGAGTGGGTTTTGGGAGGTTGGGAGAGGAGGGTCAAAGTAGAAGAAGAAGAAGGAACCGACTCAGAGAGGAGAGGATGGGGGTTATGTGTAGGCGCCACAGCCATGTTGTCCCTCTCTAAAGAAGTAAGGAAAATGACGAAATGACGACGGCCAAACGCAGAGGCAGCCATGTATTAAAAACGCGCACTTTCGCTTTCTAATTGCTACTTAAGGGTTTGGTCATACATAATTGCTAAATAATTGAATATTTCTCTAGAGGTTTTAAGTGCTAATTCAGCAAAAATTGCAATTATTTTGAAGGGATTCTATTAGGGTTTAAGGAAAGGGGTTATGGAAGGGTTGTTTACATAAATAGAAACTGTTGGTACCATATATTGGGCATCGTCTTTGGGCCTCATCCCAAAACCCAAGACAAATGTAAAAGAGGAGGGAGCCCTTATACTATAAAATTGACTCTCTCTCACCCTCATGAGGGGACTCACATCCAGAGGAAGACAAAGGGCTCACCTTCACTAAGGAAACTAGAGAGACTCACACTCAACCCTCACAATCCAAACAGAGGGCAATACCCTCTTAACCAAACATAGAGCAAAATGGCAAGGGTTGCATCCACATGGAGCTCTCTTGCCAATCTATTGTAATCCATACATACATAATCAACATCAGTGTGGACGTAGCCCAAACATTGGAGTGAACCACGATACATCTTTGTGTTTTTGTGCGTTTGTGTGATTCACGGCCAGATTTACGTTGGTCCAAGATCCTCCGGATTTTGTGCATCAACATTTGGTGCCATTTGTGGGAATCGACACGAAAAGTTATGTCGGTTCTCTTTCATTTTTTCATCTCACCACCGTGAGACCTCACCACACTCCACCGTGAATCTGCAGAAACCTAAGAACCAAACACCTACACAAACACTGCAAAACCCATACACTCTTCCTCCTACTCCTTTCTGATTCAATTATTCATCCTCCATTTCAACTAAATAGCCTAAATGATTACTTGAAAATCCAAACATACCCATATCCATCTCGTTGTTCTCTGTCTCTGTCTATATATATATATATATATACAGGGAGTTTAAGGGGAGGGATCCCCATTTTTTCAAAAAAAATGGGGACACGCTCCCCACCGTTAGATTGACTTTAATGAAATTGTGTGGTTGAGATTAAAACACAGGCCATAGAATCTCAACCACAGGATTTCATTTAATTCAAATCCAACGGTGGGGAGCGTGTCCCCATTTTTTTGAAAAAATTGGGATCCCTCCCCTTAAGCAATTCCTATATATATATATATATATATATATATATATATATAAACTCACACGTCCCATCTCTCTGGTCCTCTTTTTTTTTTTTCTTCTGAAATGAGGTGAACCCCATCGTACCGACGTCGTAACCTTACGTCCGGGAGATCATCATTGGCGTATCTGACGGTCTTACTATGCCGTTTGCTCTCGCTGCGGGACTGTCCGGCACCAATGCCACGTCATCTATCGTCCTCACTGCTGGCATCGCCGAAGTCACAACCGGTGCTATCTCCATGGGACTCGACGGATATCTGGCGGCAAAAAGTGAATCGGATCACTACATAAAGGAGTTGAGGAGAGAACAAGAAGAAATCATAAAACTTCCACTCTCTCTCTCCCTCACCCTCGCGCTCATCAGGTTACTCTCCTTCGTAGTCTCCGTTGAGCTCTTGCTCGCCGTCGCTCGGGTCTCGTGCTCCCTACCAACTCTGATCGAAGCTGCCACCGCTGAACACAGATCTGGAGGGAAAGGGAACTTTTCCACCTGTCGTCGAAGCATTTCATCAGAAGATCCGATAAGCTGATAGCATTCTCTTTGCCTCACCTGAATACAATTACTTCGTCTCAACCACCTACCCCCATTGTCTGAGTGGCGTCCCTTCATCTCCCAATTGAACTGCCTACTCAACTCTGAACTGAGAAACTGTGGAGCTCTGGTTTCTGAAGGAAAGAGATGGCAACTAAGGGAAGTACCGGTATAAGCATAAAGCAATTGATTATATTAGCTCTCTGCAAACACTTCTCTTTCAATCCTAAATCGGTGCCTGAAAACATCGCTGGCGAAGAAGTCACGAGCTTGTACTCAACAGTACTGAAATAAGCCAAAAACGGCGCCGCAACACCAGTGAACGATGAGGCGGGGAATTGGGTGAGATATGCTCTACAAATTCCCAGTACATTCTTCTATGATAGGTCTTTCAAACACAAATAGGCTCATGAAATCGAATAAATTGAATGATGAAACTGCTTGGAAACTTGCTCTCCAGAAAGCTCAGTGCTCTCTGCAGCACCAAGCCGTAAGAAGATGCCCACCAACAATGAAACTTTCATCATGAAAGGGAGTGCATGTTCTCAGCCCACTTTCTGAAAAAGCCACAGGAAAACCATGAAGAAGATAAGTTTTCTATTATTAATTCTATTATTATTATTCATATTGCTTACCATTTACTGAATCCTTCAGTATTATTAAAAACACTATTTCCTATTACATGCTAAATGCCTATCCTTATTATGGTTACATCAGTGGTCACATGCGCATGTTTGATGCTATGGTGGACACCACCTATTATTCTATAGAGGATTTCAATTTCTTTGGGATCTCTGTGGTTGTCCCCGAGACTGGCTGGCCATCTGCCAAAAGAAAAAAATAAAGGGAGCTTTACTTTTCCTTTTCAGTAGACATCGTTTTCATCATTTATTTAATATGTTATTGATATATGTTATGATGAAAGTAACCTTTATTATTTAAACGTATGATGAAACATTCATCATGAAGGGACAAACAACACACTATCCCAGAATAGCCCCATCAAGGAAAATATAATATATATTGTTGATGCACAAAATCGGTGAGGACTTTGGTACAACAAAAAGTGTCAAGTTTGTGACCTTCGCTAGATTGCTCCGGTCACTAGTGTGGATAAGTAAGTAAATGGATAGGGACATGGAAGCAAACACAAGATGTACGTGGTTCACCCAGATTGGCTACGTCCACAGAGTAGAGGAGTTCTCATTAATTGTGAAGGGTTACACAAGTACATAGGTTCAAGCTCTCCTTTAGTAAGTACTAGTGAATGATGTAGTACAAATGACATTAGGAAATATTGTGAGAGAATGATCTCTATTTATAGAAGAGAGTTTCTAGTTTCATTCTAACATTGACACATGTCGTGTTGTGATTGACTTCTGATGTTGACACGTGTCGCGCTATGATTGGCTTCCGATGTTGACACGTGTCGCACTGTAATTGGCCTCCTGGTTGGAGGGAAACTCTTATGGGTCCTTGACGGTATAACGTTGACCGGTGCTCAGTAGTTTCGGGATTGGTCAAGTATGGTACAAACAAAGTTGATAGATTCTTTATCAAGGAAAAATCAGAAGGAAAAATAATTGAAGTATCGTCAATTAGAACGGAGGATCTGTTGGCAGATATTCTCACGAAAGTTGTTTCAAGTCATAAGTTTTCAAGTTTCTTAGACAAGTTGGGCATGAGTGACATATATGCACCAACTTGAGGGAGAATGTTGACAAATCAGTGAGATATCAATCGGAACAAATCCCTAATTATTTGTGTACTTAGCTTTTTATGTATTTACCTAGTTAGGAAGTCAACTCCAATTTCTATGGAGTTGATTGTGCATATTAACTGTGTATATTTCTCCTTCATGTATCAATGAAATACACAATTATTCCATTCAAGCATTCTCTTCTTACCACGGGTGGATGAAAATCTAAAAGGAAACAATTCCCGCACACAATTTTTTTCCCATGCACGCCCATTTTTATTTCTGGCTTTGGATGAATCAAGAAGGGGCGTCCCTTTTCTTGGTTCCTGTAATGACTACCTGGGTGAGATGTACGAGTGCCCTCCTCGATTTTCTGACATTCTCGTCTTCGCTCTTGGGCAGAGATTTGATTGCTGCTGCGGCAAGGTTTGCATGTTTTGTGGCTAGCTCCCTTGTCCTATGTATTCCACGGCTCCTACCGAGGTAGTTGAGAGCCTGTAGAAATATACCATGAAAACCAATAATAATAATTGAATCTAATAAAACTGTGACAACCGCATTAAACTATTTATATTCACTAAAAAGAAAAAAACTGTTTCTACTTTCTGTTGTTCACCTCTCGTTGATGAAATTTCATGAACAATATAATATTGGTTAGAGTCGGACATTTAGTGAGAGGCGAAAAGTAGAAAACAGAAACATTTTCTAAAGATGACAGAAACAGGTTTAGACGGGCATTTTCTTTGAAACAATGCCAAAGTGGCCCAGACCGGCACTTGATGAAACAATACAAACTTACGAGTTCAATATTTGCAGGGTTGTTATCAAGGCATTGTTCAACAACTGTACGCAACTGAGGAAACTCTTCCATGGCAAACAATATTGGAGCAGTTACAATGCCCTACAAAACGATTATATGGTTGCAAAAAATTATGAGGAATGAAAGTTGAAAACATAGCGGCATGGGATTAGAATAGTTGAGGATCTCTCTCAATTTACAATGCAAGCAAGCTTGTTGAGCATGCCAATATGGAAAGAAAAGAAATAATGAAAAATCAAAAAAAGAATACTGTTATAGCAAATTAGAGCAACCAAAACCAACTTTAAGGCTGACAAGACCCAGATAATACTCTCACTTTAAGCTACCAAACTCAGCCATGAGGTGCACCTAGCTATGATACTCTCACTTTAAGCTACCAAACTCAGCCATGAGATGCACCTAGCTCAGTAACGATCCCTTTATCAATCAACACTTACATGGCGGATGTCAGATAAAGATGCCTTTCCAAGTGAAGCTGATGTGCCCGTAAAATCAAGGAGATCATCTATTAATTGAAATGCCAGTCCCTGAGAGAAAAAAATTAGTCAGCTTGATACACACGCACGGACATCGACCCATCAATCCATACATGCATGTAAAAAACCATCAGAAAGTATCCATTGTTTGAGCGCTAGCAGGAAAGTCATATAATTATTGTTATCATTATTTTTTCTTTCTCTATGTGTGCTTCTGTTTGGAACATGAATATTAAACATCTTAGAATTAAGCGTGCTCGTCAAGAATATTAGACAAAAGAATTCCAAGAGTTTACGAACCAGATTTTTTCCATATTCATAAGCCAACGCAGCAACTTCGGTTGTATGCCCAGCTAGAACGGCAATTGATTTGCAACTATTTGAAATCAGTGATGCAGTCTTGTAATAAGTCTTTTGCATATAATATTCCATGCTACAATGAATACCAAATTTTCTCATAATTAGAAAAACTTAAATCTTAAGGAAACCCGAAAGAAGACATCATACGGAAAAAAAAAGTGTGCAAATACATAACATCAACAATGATTTGCTCACACTCAACTAATTGAAGCTTTTGAAAATGGAAGATTGAGAATTTCGTGTGTGAGTTATGCATGCCTAGTTTGTTTCTCACACTTCTGCTCTCTTTCACGACAACAGACTTCGTTGCAAGTTGTGTAACTACCCCCAACTTGTTTCTCTCTATATAATCCGCTTCTCATCCTACGTAGCATTATTCAAGAAATACTTATATTTTGAAATGAGCTATAAAGATGAGCCCTACTATATACAAGCCAAGGCAAGACAATCCACATCCCAACCTAATAATGCCACGCCTATAGCTATGCTTTTATAACATAGTAGTTTACTTCCTCAAACAAAAAATGTACACATATGACAGAAGCAGCAGAGCAGTATACCTAAAACGTTGATCAGATTTGGTAGTCATTTGCATGGTTTCACCAGTCACAAGATGCTCAACAACCGTTGACATTAATGATACAACCTACAAATGCACAAAAATGATGCAAAAACATGTTAAAACAACTTGAGTGAACCCACATTCTACTGTTTGTGATACTTGGGATCACAACTATGAATAGGTATGGGAACCATGTCCTGACTTGCTGAAATTTCAGGCAGATCACTTTTATACTTCACTGGTGGATGATAATGGTGATGATTGTGTCAGAGTGTAAGTGCACAAGAAGGAAGGGGGAGGCAAAAACAAAATTAACTGACTTGCTTGACAAGATAAGGAGCTGGAAATTTTGATCGAATAAAATATATCAGGGGTTTTGCTTTCTCCTATTTGGCCTTAAGGTACTTTATTTTTGCTCCGTCATCCTTCATAGTAGCTTACATGACATGGAACATTGAAATGTGCTAAAAGTAATAAGCAGAGCTTCGAGGTGGACCCAGAAGATAGTATGGACCCTGGTAATACACCATTACAAAACCCCAAATCCCTGTTAAGGGACTTAGAACACTTCCAGTGTAGGAAGATCCCTTGGGCAATAGGCAACTCAATCCTTTTAAATGAACAATAACTGTTTAAATGCATATTCACCTTTAAACTGAATAACCCAAACAATTCATATTAAAATATTAGTATTTTTTTTATTTTATAAAATAGTAAAAGAGAATTTTATTTTTAATTTCGGATAATAATAATAAAAGATTGGTTAAAAGTATTTGAAAATATTGAAATGTAATTTTTTTATAATTTCTATAATTCTTTAATAATTTAAATTGTGGATAATGTCATGATGACATCACATAAGCAAGGTGCTGGGCTAGACGATTATTGCTTAACTTCTCCATCAGGTTTGCCCTGGGTCCAATTGCCGAGGGGGCTGCAGTGCTATTGCTCATCTCAGTACACTAGTGCATAGTAATTCATCCATACCTCTGTGTTTCTCAAGGAGGCAAGTGCGACACAGGCTCGGGAAAGCACAAAATCCCCTGCTAAAACAGCCAACTGCATTCAACGATAGAAAGAAGAGTAACTATCATATAATACAAAACCCTTTCCTAACTCTGTATGTTCCCAGTGCAGAATCATTATTAATAACGGAAAGAAAACAAGGGAAAAAATTGACCAATTTAAAGGAACCAAAAGCACACCTTATTTCCCATTACACAATTTACTGAACCAACACCACGCCTTGTGTCTGCATCATCCAATACATCATCGTGTAAAAGGCTTGCCACCTGATTGGCAATGAACGTTATTAGTACATTAGAAATGATAGTTTTCTAATATTCTGTAGTACATAATAAAATAAAGCGATAGCAACAAGATCATTAGCAAAGATATAACTAACATGAAACATCTCTGTGATTTCTGCTATTCGTTGTTGCCTTGCGCGTAGCTCTGTTGACAAAGCCTCTTGCAGTTCCGTAGGAGGTTCAGGTACAGTGGTATGCCTTGCGCGTAGCTCTGTTGACAAGGCCTCTTGCAGTTCCGTAGGAGGTTCAGGTACAGTGATATGCATTGCGCGTAGCTCTGTTGACAAAGCCTCTTGCAGCTCCGTAGGAGGTTCAGGTACAGTGATATTCAACGCGGTTGACATCAGCAATAAGACCTGCATGTAGAATAAACCTATTGAGCAACTTCTAACCTTGACGACAATCACAATTCTAGAAAATATAAGGTTGGGATGACGAGTGCGCATATTCGACACGGAGCAATAATCTTCACCCACATATCTATTCCACTGAATTCTTCTAACAACAGGATACACAAATATTGAATTCATAGAGGGAAGGTAAGAAAATATCCAGTATACATCATCTTGATATTCTGTGAAATAATGAATTGAATTAGTACTATTTATATTACCGTGGAACGAAACCTCTTTCCTTCCACTCCCGTTTTAAAGAAGTACTCGGCAGCGGAGGAAAGCTTAGGGACCTGGGAATAAAAAACAAATCTGATCTGTGATCATATCATATAACATTTGAATCTTACAAAACCATTAGGGTTAAATCTCCGTTCTAACACGTACGTCCTTAGAGTAATATGAATTAAATCCAAGAAGACAGAAAATAGATATACCTCAGAAACTACCATCGCCCGCAACCTGTTAGCAATAATCGACAGCTCATCGGAAACAAGTGAGAATGGGTCGAGCAGTTCCTGCAAAGCAGTATGTAAGCACATTAGTAGAGGTGGACAAACAAAATTATCTATTACAAAAGAAAACTGAAGTCCCTAAGAGAAGGGTACATGAAATATTGAGCCGTGACAATGACGACAAGTTAAACTTACTCCCATCTCTGCTTTTGTGCCGCAAGCAACAATAAAACCGATAGTGATTTAAAGAGACGAACTTTAAGAGAGCGAAGATTCAGAGTGGGTTTTGGGGGGTTGGGAGAGGAGGGTCAATGTGGAGGAAGAAGAAGAAGAAGAAGAAGAAGAGCGGGTAAGAGAGGACAGAGTGCGGGGGTTATGTATAAGCGCCACAGCCATGTGCTCTCTCTAAACAAGCAAGCAAATGACGAATTGACGACGGCCAAACGCAGACCCAGGCATGCAAGAAGCATGCAAAAAAGCGCGCACCTTCGCTCTCTAATTGCTACTCAGCAAAGATAAGTAGTTAGATCATTTAATTCACACCGTCGGGAAGAAAGAAGATTTAAATACGGAAACGCAATAGGTTGGAGATGCATGCCCTAACTATTAGGATAATTCGTCACATGCTAAATTTGTGTACTCTAGATTGATTTTCGATAGACAACAATATTTTATATTATTGTTAATTAGTATTATGGTGCAATGGTATTTTTCTTTATTTGTAAGTGAGATTTTAGGTTTAATTTTCACCAAAAGAGAATTTGAACCACATTATCGCTGGCTCATTGTAAGGTTAAGTCTACCCCATCCCCTTTAATGTAGATAATATTGTTTGTTCAAAAATATCTTATTACATCTTCTTTTCTGTTGAGTGTTCCATAAATAAGTGACTTATGTTCGGGGTTATTCCAGACATTTCAATACCTGAATTCCATTTAACGAGTTGCCTTTGACAAAAAAAATTAAAATTTAGAAAATTTAAAAAAAAAATTAGGATTTTAAAAGAATCTAAAATAGAGGTTGATTTGCCACTCAATACTACGGTCTTGTGGTATTCTTCTTCATTTGGAAGTGAAAGGTCTTAGGTTCGAATATCGTGGATGGCGAATTCAATACCAAATTAGGTTGTCCATTGTAGAGCTTAGCCGAACTCCCCCTCCCCTTAGTGTAAAAATATCATGTATTAAAAAAAAAAAAAAAAAAAAAAAAAAAGAGGTTGATCTGGTATAGATAATATGAGGGTTTCCCGTTAAAAAAAAAAGAGAACGACCCACATTCATTTTATTGTGTTTCAAAGTGAAGATGGCTACAAAATACAGGGTCATGGGGATCCTCCAATCTATGGTAGAGTTTGATGATAATCTTTATGTTAAAATGTCCCAATTAATCATGAACACAAGTCATGTGACACACTTTAGAGTGTAATACTGTTATTTTCTAGCCTATAAGCCCTTAAAATATCATATAAGTTGCAAGTTTAACGTCTAATTTACCCTTCAATGTTAACTTACATTATTTCTTACAAAAAACTACCAATTTACCCTCCAAAGTTAACTTCATACACTATTTCTTTATGAAAAACTATCAAACTACCCTCCAATGTGTATCACATCATGACTTAAATTGACGAAAAATTGAATATATTAGCTTTGAATATAATATTAGGAATGTAATTGGCAGTTTTTTTTTTTAATTAAAGGACTGATTTTTCTGAAAACAATAGTTTAGGGACCCAATTTTCACTGAGGTTATCATTTAGGAACTAAATTAGAAGTTCACCATAGATAA